TGCGGCCAGTGTGTACGACAGTATGGCGGTTCCTCAAAACCTTAAAGACAGAAATACGTACAATCCAGTAATTCCCCTGCCGGGTATCTACCCAAAGAAAATGAACACACTATTCAAAAAAATATATACATGCACCCCTATGTTTACTGCAGCATTACTTGCAACAGCTAAGAGACAGAAGGAACCCACGCGTCCATCAGTAGATGAATGGATAAACAAGGTGTGGTATAGGTAAATGGAATGTTACTTAGCCATGAATAAGTATGAGACCTCACCATTTGTGACAACATGGACGGACCCAGGGGGTACTATGCTAAGTGAAGTAAGTCAGGTAGAGAGAGGAAAATACCATATGATTTCACTTATAGATGTAATCTAAAAAAACAAAACAAATGAACAAACAAAAAGGCAAAAATGACCTATAAATACTGAGAACAACATGGTGGTCGCCAGAGTAAGATGTTAAGAGTGTTAAGTCCTAAAAAATATTAAAAACCACAATAATGAAAGATACAGTGATAAGGGAGCATGGGGAGTAACAGTTTATATGGAAGGCCTCTCTATCTGGGTGATAGTTGAAAGAGGAAGTGAACCGAGCCAACAATCAAAGAGCATCATAGACAGACGGGACAATGAGTCCAAAGATGAGAGAAGGGAGAACACTCAGTGTGTGTGAGGAAGGGCACAGAGGCCATGTAGCTAGAGTAAAGGAAATGAGGGAAAGAGTAATAGAACCAGCTGTAATATGTCAATAATTCATCTTTAATAATTATAATTATTCATAATAATCATTGGAGTCTTTCATACACAACTTGTAAACTAATACATGAGGGGGAAATTTGGAAAAATTTCAAATTCATTACTGTGCAAAAATTCTCTATGTCTTAGTATTTTTCTTTATATAACCACAGAGTTGTAATTATTTCAATAATGCAAGCAATCCTCTTACATATGCCATGCCAATCTATGAATTAAAACTATTTCACATTAGGTTTCAATAAGTTCACATCCTCTAGTCTCAAATATGATACAACACCAACTTCCACACGGAAAGCGATGTCCTACTCAGCAGATGGGAATACTCTTCAGATCAGGCTGCGACCACATCCTTTCAACAGTACTCCAACTGCAGCACTGATGCTCAATTCTACGCATTCAGAGGAATACACATTAGTGAGTCTATATTCCTAATCACGTCCCTTTTCTATCAACCCACCAATAATTTAGCATGGTTTAAAAGAATTTAACTTTCTCCGTATATGCCATAATACCCACCCACGGGTTAATATGTGTAATAAGAAATGAATTCCCTTAAGTCAAGATATTCTTCATACTCATATTTTTTTGTTTAATAAGTGCTAAAAGACAGATTAGCAACTTAAAATCTAATTTATCAATAAAAAATATCTATATTAGAGATGAAGAAATTTCAGGGGGCACTTATATTGGAAGAAAAAAAGCTAGTTGACAAGCAAAATGAAGCCCATTTTCTTCCAAGAAATGCCTTTTTTTTTTTTAAATAAAAAAGAAATAATACTAGGAAAAGCAGCCAAATGTGCATTTGAGAAATAGAGAACTTGCCTACAGTTACGTAAGCAATTAAAATAAAGTGAATAAAAATGCAGCATTAAACATGCTGCAAAATGTGCACACTCAATCCAGCCAAGACAGTTACACCCACTTCCATTAGTAAAACAAAATGTAAGACAACATGGGAAACTAATGAGCTCAGCTGCAGGGGCCTGTTTGTTTGTTTTTTAATTTCATCCATTTGCTCAAAACGTAGTTTCTATTTTACCCTAAAGTCTTTTGTTGGATATAAGGGGAATTAAATGTTCCTGAACAAAAATCGGAATAAGCTCTGAAAATGCGTAATACAAGCCTCATTTGTTCTAACGCACATCTGGTTTGTTCTGTTTTAACATTTTTGACAGGTTAATCATTTGTCTTCGTGTTTAAAGAACACAAATGTTTTGCTGGTGCTGTTAAACAGATCCTGGGGCGGGAAAGGGGTGGTGGTGAAAAGACAATGTTCGAGGTGGAGAAAGGTCTTTTTTTTCAAGATGCTTTTTTAAAGGGGAAGGGACGGGGGGTGGGGGGGGGGGGTTGTGTGCAGACACTACATACCTAGGAAACTTGACCATGGTATACAGAAGCTACGACTCGTTATGAAAGTACAAATAAAGTCAAGTCAATTAAAAAAAAATAAACATTTTAAAGGGTCACTTTTATTTGAAATAAATAAAGTATTTGAAAACCTTCCTGGTGAAAAAACAATAGTCTCAAGTTCTATGATGAAAACGGTAATAAAAAAATTCAAGGTTAACGAATAAAGAAAATAGAGACCAAAAGGATTACTTAGAGAATGAAAAAGTAGCAAAGGTGACAAAGTTAACTTCTGTGAAAAATGACGTCACCATGCAAACCAAGGAGATGACTGGATACTGATATCTGGTATTCAGTTTCACTTTTAATTGACTATATTTAGTATTGTTTGGTTTTGGTGAGCTTGAATTTAACTGGAAACAAAAAAATTATGAGAAATATTTTCATCAAACTCAACTGTAATTCTGGTTTAAATTTTAAAATAATGTTCAGTTTCAGGTTTTACTTGGGAAAGAATGTAAGTTTGATTCCAGGACAACAAATACCCTCATAATGGATATCCCTATTAGAAAGCACCAAACCACAGTCAGATATCTAAAAGGATGTGTTCTTCAATGCAGGTTACCAAAATAAACAAACAAAATTCTACAACAATAAAAGAATCGGAGAAGATCTTTGAATTTGCTTTAAGTACAGAACACAATCTATAATTCAGGTTAAGTGTTATGGCCATAAAGTATGATGAATTAGTTCAACTTGAATTAAAATGTGAACACGAATCTACTAAAACAATTTTGAAATACTTGCTCTGTTCATACTACAAAATTCACCCCAAATCCAGCACACCCAAAACAAACTATGTCAGCAAATGAACTTATCTTTCCTCCCAAATCTATTCCATTTCCATTAATATCAACTTTTTAGGAGATCCCTAGGCTTCAAAATCTCAGCATCATATGACTCCCCCCTTTCCTCCCCACAACCTATCCATTCCCAATTGTTAGCAGAAAGATCCAGTGTCTTTGACATTTATCTCCTTACTACAGTCTCATTATGAGGACTTTAGTTTAAATATTACCTCTATTAGTCCCTGGCAATTGCACTTAAACTGTTCTCCCAACTTCTAGTTTTGATTCAGGCCAATACATCTTACAAATTCTCTCCAGATTAAAGCTCTAAGGAACTCCCCACTTTTAAAACTTCTAAGAGATTCCTGCTAAAAAGGGGAATAAAAGTCCAAAGCTTCTTAGGATCTTATTCAAGATCCTTCTCGGGGTGCCTGGGTGGCTCAGTCAGTTAAGTGGCTGCCTTCGGCTCAGGTATCGAGCCCCACATCAGGCTCCCCACTGAGCGGGGAGGCTGCTTCTCTGTCTCCCTCTGCCTGCTGCTCTGCCTACTTGTGATCTCTATCTCTCTGTCAAATAAATAAATAAAATCTTCAAAAAAAAAAAAAGATCCTTCTCAATATGGTATCAATCTTCCAATATGACTACCACTATTTGCTTTGATTCAACATAGGAGTAACCATTCACTACAAGCCAAAGAGAAATAACTGATAATTTTTTGTATGTAGCCTGTAATATCTGACTTACTTCAATGTATACCATTAATAAATTCCTTCTATTTAAAATAATATCACCCTTAATCCACCCATCCAATTATTCAAGGTACAGTTTTTATGTTTGTTTATTTTTTAAGGAGGCTCTACACCCAACATGGGGCTTCAATTCACAACTCTGAGATCGAGAGTCACATGCTCTACCGACTGAGCCAGGCAGTTGCCCTTTTCAAGTTACAGCTTAATTTCTTTTTTTAAGATTTTATTTTTTTTTTAATTTTTTATTTTTTAATTGCTTTTCAGTGTACCAGAATTCATCGTTTATGCACCACACCCAGTGCTCCATGCAACACGTGCCCCCCATAACACCCACCACCAGGCTCACCCAACCTCCCACCTCCTGCCCCTTCAAAACCCTATTTGTTTCTCAGAGTCCACAGTCTCTCATGGTTCATCTCCCCCTCCGATTTCCCCCAACTCCCTTCTCCTCTCCTTCTTCCCATGTCCTCCGTGTTATTCCTTATGCTCCACAAGTGAAACCATATGATAACTGACTCTCTCTGCTTGACTTATTTCAAAGACTTTATTTTTATTTTTACGTAATCTCTATACCCATCATAGGGCTTGAACTCACAACCCTGAGGTCAAGAGTCCTATGCTCCACCAACTGAGCCAGCCAGGTGCCCCTCAAGTTGTATTTTAAATGTTTTCTCCTTCAGCATGCCTTCTCTGATTTCCCCAACAATGTGTAAATTCCTCCTCTACCAAACACCTTTGGCATCCTGTGAATTTATCAAATACTACTTCACACTATGGCTATTTATGTAGCAACATTACTTCCTACCAGATTTTGTAAGGGGGAAATATACATAATGGGAAAGTTCTTTAAGGGAAGTATCTACAGAGCCATGTACACAGTAAGCATTTATACATGTACGTATATATATGCATATACATGTGTATTATAATATATAAATATACATATGTTGAATGCTGGCATATTTAAGCATACATATCATATTAATAAAGAAGTATAAAATAGTATGGTAACATACCTAGGGGGTAATAAGTATCATTAATTTCAAACCTAAGTATGGCCTAAATTTAAAGAACTGGTATTATAAAGTAACTAGGTTTTCAAATGATTAGATTACCAATATTAATGCCAAAGGGAAAAAAAAAATCAAATCCACATGTTCTTAACACAACATGAAATTCAAATACCAGAACATATTTACTCTCTCTATATATATTAGCAGTTTTGTTTTATAACTAAACATACATATCAGAAAGTTGTTGACAGCATATTAAAATAATAAAAAGAATTCTCCCTTACTTCGAGTTAGTTTTGGAAATCTTTTTTTCAGCTTTTTCTTTAATGGATTAAGCTCAGGCATTATTTCTGGAACAGCTACATAAAAGTCTGATTGAATTTCATCATCCAAAATCTGAAAATCGGGAGAAAAGATTAAACCTTAGATTATATGAAAAGGTTTATCCTTCTGAAAATTAAGTATAATGTAGTAATTTCCCTTATAATTTAGAAAAAAGACATTAAGCACAATTCTTTCCTTCAAAGATCCTACAAACACATTTACCAATTATGAAAACCATTAGAACCAAAACATTTTCTGATGTTCTCTTTTAAAAATAGCCACATCCTTTTAAACAAAACAAAACAAAACAAAAACCATTTACTAGGTTTAATTCTTCTGTGGGGTTATGTTAGGCAAAAGCGTAATAAACTAGATGATAGCACTGATGTGCACATGGCTCATATACTCCTACAAAGTTGAATTAATCTGTCCATTAAAACTGAAGACACAATGCTGAAAATTTTGCAATATATCGTATGTAAAATTAATAACACTCAAATCACTAGCAACCAAATCACTAGCAACCACACTGCTTTCCTAAATTCAGAGCATCAAGAGAACTAATCTATAATTATTTTCACAAAGAACTGAAACTAAAATTCTATTTGCCTCCAATAACTAAAAATAAAAGAGGCGTGGGATGGTCAAAGACATATTCTTTTATAATTTATTTATCCACACTCTAATTCCATTTTAATAGCAAAAGGAATAATACTCAATTTTTAAAAGACAGTTTTAATTAAGTAAGGCAAACATCCGAAATAATTATTAGACTACTATAGCATATTCCATTTAAACATGTAGTTGCTCACGAAATGATTACAAAAACATTTAGTTGATTACAAAAAAGCAACTTCTTAGAAAAATACTGCCTAGACAACAAGTATTTCACCAGTGGTTCTTTTTGCACACAGTATTATCATAATATGTCATTCAAAGACGTGGTTTGGCCTTACACAGTGAACCCTAAAATCTTGTACCATGGCAAAATTAAGCACTGATTCTGGAATTTTACCTTCCTGTTATTATTCTTATTTTTCCAAATTCTTTACTCCCTGAATAACTTACTATGGTCCCCTTAACAGTAACAACTTGCATTAGATGAGCACTTACCACATGTACATAGCATCCTTACAATAACCCTATGAGGCCAGTACCAATATTGACCATATAGGAAACTGAGGGCTGAGGGCAGATTAGTCAGTCTGTGCACTTATAAAGAGCAGACTCAAATTTCAAACACATGCAATGTGGTTCCAGAACCCAGGGGTCTTATTCATAGAAATATGAAAACAGAGGCAATTTTGAAACATCAAAGAATTACATGTGAAATTTCTACTCTAAGACCTTTCAATATGGATTTTATGACATGCTCCTTTAAATTTAAAATTATGTTTAAAAGTTATGTTATTGTTAACCTTAAGATCACCTCTTGGAAGAATATAAAATGATATAAATGAAAACCATGCTTTAGAGACAAGTAAAAATGAAGTTATGAAACAAAATGAATTTATTAAAGGCCTTACTTAGGAAATGACTATTAGTTCAGTAAATTTATCCTACATTTACATTTTGTAAGTGCTAAGTAAAACAGCATTTAACTTAACTAAAAAATACAGAAACATGTAAAAAAAAAAATTACAGCCATGATGCTATTTACCAAAACTGTCTTGAATTTATCTCATAATCTGAATAGCTTCTAAAAATAACATGGGTGAGGGGCACTGGATGGCTCAGTCGGTTGGGCAGCTGACTCTTGGTTCTGGCTCAGGTCTTGAGCTCAGGGCAGACTCTGATTGAGGATTCTCCCTCTCCCTGTCCCTCGCCCTGTTCACGTGAACACTCTCTGTCTCTATCCAGTTAAAAAAAAAAAAAAAAACAAAAAACCCTAAAAAATAAAAATAAAAAAATAACATGGATGAGCTCTGAAAGATTATGCTAGTGATGCCATCAATCACCACTGGTACCCTTAAAGAGAAATTCTGTACCTGTAACATTCTGTTTACCAAATAATTTCAAAATGTGCTTGGTTTTCTTATTTCGGTTACTTTTTCAAGTATGTTTTATTTAATAAACTTAATTCTACAGAACACATCCTGCTCCCTTACCATTTTTTTTTTTTTTGAGAAGTAATTTCTTGCTTCACATTTAACTTCATTTAAACTCTATTGTTGTTTTGACAGTTCTACAAGACACTCTTATGCTTTTAGGAAAAAAAAAAACAGATGGAAGGCGGTACACTAACTTAATAAGATGAGTTAGTTCTCTGGGTTCCGGAAACTAAGCTCTATTTTCTCTAATTCCAAAGAATATGTGGTATTGCTTATTTTTTAAAAATTAAAAGATTTTAATAATTTTATTAAAGTTTATGATACATGGTACCACCCTCGGACTTTGACCCAGAGTCTCAACAAAAGCATAATCTCTTTGTATTTTCCATTAGTGCTACTCCCAAAAGCCATTTTGGAAACTCTCCTTAAAAATCCAGAATCCCCACCACATTTAGAGTAGTACTGGGGTGGAAAAAAACAAACTACAAGCACTCTTGTACATCCCAAAGGAAGGCCTAGTTCAAACTTTCCCCAAATCAAAATCTGGATACGGAACAAAGAGAAATTTTCAAATCACTTTCTCCTGTTCTAAATTTTTCTTTTTTTTTTTTCTTAAGAGTTTATTTATTTGAAAACAGAGAGAGAAAGAGAAAGAGAGAGAGCATTTCGGGGGCGTGAGGGGGGGGCCCAAGCACACTCCCCGCTGAGCAGGGAGCTTGATCCGGGACTCTGTCCCAGGACCCTGAGATCATGACCTGAGCCGAGACGCTTAACCTACTGAGCCACCCAGGTGCCCCGTTTTCTATAACCTTCAATTAAATTTAGAAGATTTTAGACACTATTAAGGAAAATCTCTTGTATTTTTAAAAATAACGTTCAAAATTCAACAGCCATGCCTCTTCTTCTCACCTCTTAACAAACAAAACAAAACAAAACAAAAAAACATCATTCTGGTTGCAAACCAGCTCCACAAATTCTTTGTTACTTTCTCAACACAATTTCCATAACCTCTCATTGCCTCGTGCTGAGCCTATCTCGCTCTGAAGTCGCTGGAGAGTAAAAGTTAAGAGTAATCAGAAGTATTGTATTACTACGGAGGTCAGATACTATCCTTTGTGATCTGTAAAGTTAATCACATTTTTCACTCGAAGGCAAAACAAGTATTTGATCTTTAAAACATGAACAGTGATACTCATGAGTTCTACCTTTTAAACTTCATCTTAAATCTCATATTCAAAACCACAAAGAGTCATATTGCCCTTTCCAGTCTACCTACAAAAACTCTCACAAACATATAGGAAGCAAGGGGTTAAAAAAAATCATGAAATAAATCAAGCATAATTAATATCAGACTGGTTAGTTTTTTTTCTTAGCTTGATTTTGAGACTCAAAAGAACAGGAAATTTTTTCCCCTGTTTTCCAAAACTTTATAACCATCTGTCAAAAGATATAGGCATAGCGGTTAGGTTCTACATGAACTAAATCAATGGATGGCAAAGACAGCAATTTCTATAACTACTGAACATGAAGACAACACTGTACCTTCTGAATCAGATTAATTCCTCCTGCAAACGCAGCTCCATGTTCTTCTGCTATTTTAATCTCGGATGCATTCTACAAAAATACAATAGTTTGAACATCAATCTTTAAACAAATTCAGTCTGATTTCAAGTATTTTGTAAGAAATAGTATCACAGTTCAAAGTAAAAATTGTAGTTTTTACTTTTAAGTGAAAATCCATCGTTTCTCATTCCAATACATCAGAGATACTGTCTCCTGAACAAGTTTACTTTGTAGGTGACTAAGGCATTTCTTGAGTAATACATGAGGAAATACGTTTGAAATGACATATTAGGAACCTAAGACGTGGCTCAATCAAACTCTTCAATGCCTTCAATACATCATCTTCCAAAAGTAAACGATTAAAGCATATTTAGTTTTGCTAACTTAAATGAAGACATCTTATCAAACCAAAGAGGAAAGTTACTTAAGAAATTATAGAATCAAAACTATATTGTACACCTGAAACTAATATAATACTGTATGGTAACTAACTAAAATTAAACACTTTAAAAAAAATTTAGCCAGTTGTCTGAAAATTCAAAAGAAAAATATACAGTATTAGTTATTTTCCATGTTCCATTTATGCCATTTGGTTTTACTGTGAAATGTTATCACTCCCTTAAGTCACTCAAGTTTTGCAGGTTTCCCACAGCTATATTCTCCATTTGTCTGGGGGAAAAAAAGTAAATAATCTCTTCCTTGAAAGCGAAGCAGATACAGAAAAATCAAAACGTTCTACAAAACAAATTCATAAATACATTACAAATGTGTGTAATACAAAAAGACCGATAAAGAGCCATATGACTCTATTTGTTACAGCCTCAACTTTCCTGGTTTTCCAGACCAGGTGTTTTTAAGTGTGGTTTCTAGGTCTTCACAGCACTAACTGGGCCCAATGCTTTAAAATAATTTTATTGGGCACCTGGGTGACTCAGTGGTTTAAGCCTCTGTCTTCAACTCAGGTCATGATCTCAGGGTCCTGGGATCAAGCCCCACATGGGGGCTCCCTGCTCAGCGGGGAGCCTGCTTCTCCCTCTCCGGCTGCCACCGCTCCCCCTGCTTGTGTGTCTGCGTGCGTACATGCATGCTCTTCCTCTCTCTGTCAAATAAATAAAAATCTTTAAAAAAAAAAATTTCATTGTTTTTGTTTGAGAATATTTTCAGTAGGAAGCAAGAGCCAGCAGGACAAATTCTTTTTTTTTTTTTTTTCAGTTTCTTGTGAGAAACATAATGTAGCAGACTAATAATGATGAAATTAATATTCTGGTTTAGCTCTTTCTCAAATGACATAACTCAAGTAAGTCATCTAACTGCTTCAAATGGAAAAAGTAAGACTACATGAATAGTCTACACGATATGTAAAAAAAAAATGATACGAAAAGTTGACAAAGGTTACTCACCCCTGTAAATACAGCAACTTTATTGATTTCTGAAACGAATGGGTATGGAAAACGAAGAACACTGGCAAACGGCTCCACTTTTTTCTAAATACACAACAATAGAAGAATTCATTCATCTTTTCTATATACCTCACCTCTATAAAAAACAAAACTGATATGCTTTGTTTTCAATGTTTTAATTCTACCATATGTCCTCTAGTCTAGAACTATTCACTGATTACAATTTAAAGCATAAGAAACTATATTTCTTTTGTAAGAAATCATATTGAAAATCTGCATCTCTCTCCCCACCTCCATAGTGCCACAGCACTTGGCTTCTATCTCTACACCATTCAACACAATCTGTCATGCGGTAAGTGATGTGTTCGCACACCCATATCTTCCCCAGCACCCAGGATAATGCTTTCTACAAGGTAGATATCAATCAATATTCACTACCTTGAATTAAATTCAAAAGAACATGTCATTTTTTTTTGGATACCATCAAGGAGGACATGAGCACAGCTGTGCATAATGGATGACAGAAAATATCCAGCTAATATGCTCAGTAGGTCTCTATTAACCCTGAACCTAAGACAGAACGCCAAGCCTGAAAGGCTCTTCTGAGTGGGTCTATTTTGAAACAACATGGACTGCCCACCACTTTCAGAGATACCTAGGAAGTCAGTTGGAAAATCCAAAATATATATGGCATGCATTTAGGCATCCAAATATGGACGGAGATGCTACAGGGCCTCAGAACGTCTTTGTTCAGTTTTCTAGTCAAGGAACTGTCGAGCACTGTGGCTCATATCACTTAGAGAGACTTCACATGGGAAGTCTAGGCCCACAGTCTCAGTGCAAATTTTAAGGTCTAGAAAAAAGGGAAGCTGGGTTGTTCCCTAATTAAAACAGATCGAAAGGTTATATTTTTAGCAAAACTTTATTTTGAGTAGAGATAACCTCCTGAGGATTTATTTTCAGACAAAAAGGAACAAACTCTTAAGCACACTTGACATCAGACATGTAACTCAATTTTATTGACCGGCATTCCTTTGCCATTAACATGTCACAACTAGTTTCAGTAAATTTTTCACTAGCAAGCAATCACAATTAAAGCATCCCCTGGGGGAATATTGGCTTGCTGTATAAGCACTCTAACAAAAACAAAAAATGTCTTAGGAAGACAACAGTATCCTTTCAATGTTAATAGTTTACAAGCGGCTTTCACTTATGAAATGAAGCTTGTGGTCCTACAACTCTTCATTATGAGCCACAGTTAACAGCCAAAGAACTCAGGTGTTGGGGCACTACCCCCAGCACAGTGGAAAAGCTGCATATAACTTTTAACTCCCCCAAAACTTAACTACTAATAGCCTATTACTGAACAAAAGCCTTATCAATAACATAAACAGTCAACCAACACATATTTAGTATGCTGTATGTATCAGATACTATATTCTTTTGACAAAGGCTAGAGAAAAGAAAATGTTATTAAGAAAATAAGGAAAACACATTTACAGTAGTGTACTGTCTTTATCAAAAAACTCTGCATGTGGGGCGCCTGGGTGGCTCAGTGGCTTAAAGCCTCTGCCTTCAGCTCGGGTCATGATCTCAGGGTCCTGGGATCGAGCCCCGCATCGGGCCCTCTGCTCGGCAGGGAGCCTGCTTCCTCCTCTCTCTCTCTGCCTGCCTCTCTGCCTACCTGTGATCTCTATCTGTCAAATAAATAAATAAAATCTTAAAAAAAAAAAACAAAAAACAAAACTCTGCATGTAAGTGGATCCTCACAGTTCAAACCTGTTATTCAGGCGTCAACAGTATATCAATGGTTAACTGAGAAAGTGATCATCTTGGGTACTTACAACATTTTTAAAATAAAAGAACCAACAGTAACACTGTGCTATAAAATAAAATTATAGCATGGCTTATATAAACTGCTTTTAAGAAATAAGAACTTAAGAAATAAGACAGACCTTGATTCAAAACCTAACTCCACCTCTTATTTTGTGACCTTGAACAAGTTACTTCAGTTTCTCTGTCTCAGCTTCCTCTTTTGAGGTTATTATAGGATTAAATGAGAAAATGCATGCAAAGCACTTAGCATTGTGGCTGGTACACAGAAAGTTTCCTATAAATGCTGGCTGTGATCATTAAACACTTACCGAGTCCTTTACTTGCATTATGTCATTTAATCCTCTTAAAAACTGTATGAACTGAGCATTTTTAAAAAATGTTATTCTCTAATTAGCAAACCTGGCGGGGAAAGCCACATCAGGACTCAGAGACGAAGGCAGAGACCCAAACATCAGCTGGTTTTTCCTTGCCAGACCTCATCCATGCCAGCTGTGTCCCGCTGCAGAGACACAGTTTCCTCTTTAAACCTGATTGCCAGTGAGCTGGTCACAAACTGGCCCCACTTCATCCAAGGACCGAGCTCTAGGGCTTTCACAGCATCCTCAAGTTTGAGCATCTCGTCCCTGCTGCTGATGCTGCCACGCGGCATGGGCTGCAGCACGCACCTGGCCCTGGACTTGCACGAGTAAGAGTCATAAACCACGACCTCTGTGAGGTCCGAGGGTTCCAGAATCTTTAGCTCGAGCACGACTTTGCTCACTTGCTTGATGTACGGGATTCGATCCACGTGGGCCAAACAGAGCTTCTGAGAGCTGCGTCTGGACCTGCAACACCTCAGGATCTTTCAAGCCTTTGGGAGCTTTCACCCACAGTGGAAGGTCTTTCTGTTCTGGTAGCGTCCCCATCTGGAGAGCCTCAAAACTGAACTAAGCATTTTATCTCCCTTTATAAAGAGGTGGAAAAAATAGATCTGAAAAGGTTAAACCAGAAACCCAAAGTCAAAGAACAAGGATTCTGGCCTGTACTGTAATCTGACTCCAGAGGCCCCGCTCGTAAGCACTACACTACACCGCCTCCTCCCAAGTGTCCAACTAGTGTTGTTGCTGAGGCTGTTAAATTGTATTCAAAAATCTGTACCTTCTAGTCTGACCAAAAAAAGACATCCTCAGAATAAAAACTGAAATACCATTTCCACAAAAATTAGATCTCTTAAATGAGGCAAAATTAAGAGTTGTACTGGACCTCAACTCTAATTCAGTATTTTTACTACTTTGAGAGCTTTATAAGCAAAAGTCATCCAAGGAACTGCATATAAATAGATAAAGCAGAAAAATTTTGGTTGAAGCAAGAGTGAGGGGCTTGGTACCCTACTCAGGCAAACTTAGTCTCAACGCAGGACTCTAAGGAACATACTCTGATTTCAAACCCTCATTTACAGAAAAGGAACAGGACACCCAGGCAGCTTAAGTCATTTTTCAAAGTTACAGTAATACCTCAATTAATTTTAACACCACTTTTGCTCAATTTATACCAGTGATTTTCAGGTGAGTAGGAGATAAATGTTCATCGACTCTGCAGAATATGTTGAACATAATTTTATATTTGGAAAATAAAAACAAAATTTTTCATCCCATAGTCTAGAAAGAGTGTAACATTTCCCAAAAATTATTATAGGAAACAAGAAACTTTAAAAATTAAGAAACAGCAATTCACACAGCCCCTCCTCACAAATAAATTTATTTTAGTTGACTCTACATACCTTCTTCTCCAGTGCCATATCCAGTGTCAAATCAAGATAAACACCTTGTTTTGGATTAGTAAAGTCTAGAATTTGAAATTTCTTAAGTAACTGAATAGCTTTCTCCACCTCATATATCTGCCTTGGATATAAGCGCTTTAAGTAGACATCATCCTCAGGTTCACCTTCCATAAAGGAGTATGACTTTATTTTTTCAATCTCATCTTTTTTCTCATCTGATGCTTTGCCTTTCACACTTTTTTTCGTTTTCTTTGCAGGCCTTAAAAAAAGACAAATTCAAGATCAGTTATCTCAACACATATTCTAAGAAAAAAAAAATTTTTAAGACAATATAGGGGTGCCTGGGTGACTCAGTCAGTTAAGCATCTCCTTTCGGCTCAGGTCATGATCTCAGGGTCCTGAGATCAGGCCCTGCAACAGGCTCCCTGCTCAGCTGGGAACCTGCTTCTCCCTCTCCTCCCCACTCATGCTCTCTCTGGCTATCTCTGTCGCTATCTTGGTCTCTCTCAAATAAATAAATAAAATCTTTACAAAAATAAAAAATAAAGAGCCACTGTATATAAAGCAGAAAAAATAAAAGATAAGGTTTATTTTTTTAAGTTTATTTTAATTCAAAACCACAGACTGCTTTACAATGTTTCTCGTTGAACAAATATTAAGTGAACTTTTATACTGTTCGCAGTTGATGCAAAGTTGGATAACACACTGATGCTGCTTTCCAAAAATTTAGAGAAAGAGGAGACAGACATGCAAACAGATTTCAATACAATGGGTAAGTACTTTGACAGAATGTCATCGGAGCTGTAGAAAAATCCAGTCGAGGAAGTTAGGGATATATTCTGGAGGAGATGACCTTCTAATATCAATTCTTGAAGGATAAGGAACAGTTAGCCCAAGTACATACCCAAGCGAGACAAAAACATATGACCAGTGAAATCACGTACACAGATGTTCATTGTGCAGCATTACTCATAATAGTCAAAAACTGAAAACAACCCAAATGTCCAATAACCTAGATGAACAGATACAAAAATGTGATACATCCACACCTTAAATACTAATCAGCAGTGAAAAGGAATGAAGCACTGATAAAAGCTACAATAAGTATAAACTTTGAAAACATTATGCCAGTAAAAGAAGCCAGTCACAAAAGACCACATATTTTATGGTTCCATTTGTATGAGACATCAAGAATGGGCAAATCCACAGAAACTGAAAGTAGATTTAGTGATTGTCTAAGGCTGGGAGAGGAAGGTAGAAAAACGGGGTATAACTGCCAATGGGCATGAGGTTTTAGGGGAAGTTAACAAAAATATTCTAAAAATGACACCGTGATGGTGGCAAAAGTGTGAATATACTAAAAACCATTGAATTGTACACTTTAAATGGGTGAATTGTACGGTATGTATAGTGTATCTCAACAAAGCTATTATCTTAAAAAGGAGAGCTAGCCAGGCAAAGAAACGACATAATAAATGTACTGAGTCATGGGGCGCCTGGGTGGCTCAGTGTGGTTAAGCCTCTGCCTTCAGCTCAGGTCATGGTCTCAGGGTCCTGGGATCAAGCCCCGCATCGGGCTCTCTGCTCAGCGGGGAGCCTGCTTCCCCCTCTCTCTCTGCCTGCCTCTCTGCCTACTTGTGATCTCTGTCAAATAAATAAATAAAAATCTTAAAAAAAAAAAAGTACTGAGTCATGAAACAAAATACAAGTATATAAGGAGAGCTATTATAAACGCTAACTGATGAGAGCTGACGGGAGCAAAACTTTTCTCTAAGGGACCAGTCAGCAAATATTTTATAGTCTCTTATCTTAATATTTCAATTATGCCACTGTAATGCGAAAGCAGCCACAGACATTAGAAAATGAATGAGTGTAGCCATGTTCCAATAAAACTTTATTTACAATAGTTTTTTTCATCATAAAAAAACTGTATTTATGAACAAATGGCTTAAATTTCATAATTTTCATATGTCACAAAATACTGTTTTTTCTCTTTTTGTCCAATCACTTAAAAATATAAGAACCATGTTCATGAGCTATACAAAAATAAATGGTAGAACAGATTTTCTGGCCCACTGGACGTATTTTGCTGACTCCTGAACTACAGGGCAAAACAGAAGGCAAGAAACATCAGAAGATGGGGCTGGAGAACCTACATCATAAAAGGCTTTCACTCGAGGCAGTGAGAAGCCGCAAAACAGGAGTGACACCTGTATTTCCCGTAGAGTACTCCAGCCACAGTTAAGAGACAGAGCAGAGGGAAGCTGGACGGGAGACGACCTAAAGACCAACCCCACCCTTTCTTCTCAGGGAGATAGGACAGCCTCCAGAACAGTGATGGTAATAGGCTGGAGAAGATGAGACATTAGATATTCATAAATAGTGCAGAAAAACGAAGATGAAAAAAGAAGACAATTTTTATACTACATGTCCTGTGTTTCTGGCTTGGGTGACCAGATATAGCATAGTATCATTGAGACCAAAAATAAAGAAGGCAAAACAGGTTTCTTGTGAGGGAAGTATTCAGAGATGAGTTCAGTGTGGGGCAATGGGAGTGTGGGGCTGGCGGCATCACTGACCCAATCTTTATCCCCTTTCTTCATTCAAGGCCTCTGCTGAGTGACTTTGCAGCTCCTCCCATTTAAAGGGGTAGAGAGTATTTTTAGCACTCTGGTCATGCGACTAGTTTGGCCAATATAATAAAGCAAAAGTGACAGTTCCCCTGCCCTAAGCTTAGGCGGATAAGAAGCTTCATGTTTCCACTTGCATGCTTGTATTTCTGCCATTTCCACAAGAACATGCTTGTGCTACCGCAAGGCAGGAGAACAAGAGATACTGAAACAGAGTTGCCCCCACAGAGCCCCAGGCTAGACAGGACAATTCACTAGTGATGCCAGACTCAGAGATGTGCAGCAAGCCCAGCCGAAGTCCTACAAGACACCCACCCTAACCCGGCTTAGATCAGCTGACCCACAGATGGTGGGCAATGATAAGAGTTCTTGAGCGGTCTGGTATATAACAAAGGCTAACAAGGTGTTTACTAAAAAATCTAGGAAATCCATTCAACAGGTAAGATAAAAGAGCAGATAAGAATTTCAACCTAAGAAGACAGAAAAAAAAAAAAAAAGAGCTAGAGATGATATATTTTCTCAACACTATTTCAAATCACACCTATAATCTTTTATCCAGAGAGTTTTAAATCAGTTAAGTAGTATTTCTAGAAAAAGGTCTGAGTCCTGTTGTAGGTAAAATAACGGCTTTCCAAGGATGTTATATCTACTTGGCAAAAAAGGCTTTGCAGAGGGACGCCTGGGTGGCTCAGTTGGTTAAGCGGCTGCCTTCGGCTCAGGTCATGATCCCAGCATCCTGGGATCGAGTCCCACATTGGGCTCCTTGCTCGGCAGGGAACCTGCTTCTCCCTATGCCTCTGCCTGCCTCTCTGTCTGTCTGTGCTCGCTCACTCTCTCCCCCTCTGTCCCTGACAAATAAATAAATAAAATCTCTTAAAAAAAAAAAAAAAGGCTTTGCTGATGTGCTTAGGGCCAAAGACTTTGAGATGCAGAATCCAGGTGGCCCATCTAATCACACAAGTCCTGGAAAGCAGAGAAACTTCCCACCTACATCTGAAAGAGATGGGAAAAGACAGAAGAAATTTGAGTGTGAAAGGGAATCTGCCATTCCTAGCTTTGAAGTTGGAGGAAGGGGGCCACAAGCCCAGGAATGTGGGTATCCTCTCAAAATTAGGAATGGAGAAGGAACAGATTTTCCCCTAGAGCTTCTAGAGAGGAAGGAAGCCCTGCTGAAACCTTGATTTTACCCCAGTGAGATCCATGAGAGATTTGACCTACAGAACTACAGGATAAAAAATTTTTGATGTTTTAAACCTCAAAGTTTGTGGTAATACATTAACAGAAAACTAATACAGGGTCCTATAAAATTTATGTGAAAGAAACAAATGACAGTGGGGCACCTGGGTGGCTCAGTGGGTTAAGCCTCTGCCTTTGGCTCAGGTCACGATCTCAGGGTCCTGGGATCGAGCCCTGCATCCGGCTCACCGCTCAGCGGGGAGCCTGCTTCCCCACTCCCCTTCCTACCTCTCTGACTACTTGTGATCTCTGTCAAATAATTTTTAAAATCTTAAAAAAAAAAAAGACATAGATGACAGTAAAACAAATCTTTAAAAAAGAAACTCAAAATCCAATCCAATGTATAATTCCATTCTCACTTTTTAGTCCTCAATGAATCCTTATTAGCACAACTAACAGCATCCTCCCAGCTAATAAGCAGCTCAACGGAACAGCAGATAGCAGCAATGCTCATTTGTAACGGGCGCGGGTGCGCTTCCGGGCGGACGACAAGTCGAAGCAGGTGTCCAAGCGGACGGACGCAGCGCGCCTCAGCAGCTACTTGGGAAGCGCTCCACAGAACTCCCAGTCTCTCAGACTGCAGAAATCACGGTTTCACTTTATACTTAGTGAAAGAATAGGGAGGCCAATAAAAGAAGGACTCTACAGGGCATGTTTTGGTAAATACTCTCCATCTAACATAAACAAAACAAGGAAGAGTCCCAGCTATAACCTACACACTTACTTTCCACAAATGCTTTTTTTACCACGAATTTTTTTTTTTTAAGATTTTATTTATTGGGCGCCTGGGTGGCTCAGTGGGTTAAAGCCTCTGCCTTCGGCTCAGATCATGATCTCAGGGTCCTGGGATCAAGGCCCACATCGGGCTCTCTGCTCAGCGGGGAGCCTGCTTCCTCCTCTCTCTCTCCTGCCTCTCTGCCTACTTGTGATCTCTGTCAAATAAATAAATAAAATCTTTAAAAAAGCAAATTAAAAAAAAAAGATTTTATTTATTTATTGACAGAGAGAGAGATCACAAGCAAGCAGAGAGAAAGAGAGGGGGAAGCAGGCTCCCCACTGAGCAGAGAGCCCGATGCGGGGCTCGATCCCAGGACCCTGAGATCATGACCTGAGCTGAAGGCAGAGGCTTAACCCACTGAACCACCCAGGTGCCCCTACCACGAAATTTTTAATCATGGCCAAACCTGTTCATTTAAATTGCAATTAATATCAAATTCCCAGGGACTAAAATATGATTTTTAAATTAATTAATATATGAAACACCCATCAGAAGTTTAATACATAGAGTGAGTTGAGTATATAGCAATTTATTTATTTATACTTTGGTCCTTGTTTTGTCAAATATCTGAGGTGATTTAGTAAAAATATTTTTAAGTTACAAAAGAAACACTGT